GGACGGCGTGTCCTTCCCCGGGGATGCGGATTGCACTGTTAGGGTTCAGGTTAATGTTTGAAAGCTCCTAGATCCCAGTCAGGGTTCGGGATTTGAGCTGTGAGGCTTTGCCAGGTGGCATTTTTTTCCCCCGTGTTTGTGGGGAGAACGAGGGTGGGAGGATCTGTCAGAATCCGTTCCTGGTCGGTGTCCCTTGTGAAGGTGAACGGAGGAGAGGCCTGCCCAGGCTTTCAGAGAAATAGAATTAACGCTGCATGGGACTGCACTGGGAGCTTTGCTTGGGATGTTGCATTATAATTTTTAAACGCATTCGTTATCACATTTATTTTTTCGTTTCTGCTGTGGTATATGTTCTAGCTATACTTCAGAAATTCTGCAGTTAGATTTTTTCTTAGAAAGGCCAACCATTAGAGTGCACAATCTTATATTTCTCCCTTGTGCATAACCATGAGGGGTGCACTGATTTCTTTACACCCCAAGCTTTTGATGTTCGGCATAAAGGTGGCAAACAAGAGGAGGTGTTGCTTTGCGAGCTGCTGCGGTGCTGGGCTGGTGACATCAGTGCAATGCAGAAAAATGCAGCGAGTAATTTAAAGCAATCTCCTTTACCATCTGTCCTTCCTTAGTGGAGCTGGACTTGGTTCCATAACTACAAGCTGTGAATGGAGTGCTGTGGAGTGCAACTCAAAACTGAGACATGTTAAATGTATAAGCTCATGATCAAAAATGTCAGTGTGTTATCTCTTAATTTTTTTTTTAAAGATTGAGGAAATCTCACTGTTACTGAATCAATTACTTATTTTAGATTGCCAGAAACACCCTGGGTGCAGCATTTGTTGCTACAAGAAACATCCACGCCTCCAAAACATGCTTTCAGAAAACTGGTGAGTCTGAGAAAGGTCTTCATATAAGAGTGCGGTTTAAGAACTTGCTCTATCAGATAAAAAGGAATTTGAATATGGAGGGGGGTGTCAGTTGATAAAACACTTGAGGACATTTATGTACTGACAGTATTTAACAGTGAACTATCTGTTGCACAGTCACATCCCGGAGATTTCCCTTTAATAACTACTCAAATTATGCCCAAACCAAAGGAGTGGTCACATGTCAGTTGGCTTACACAGCTTATCTGCTTCACGAGGATTCAACTCAGTCTTCAACTCCTGCAGAATTATTTGAAAAAACGCCTCAAATTCCAGTTTCCTGTCTTGTTTGTAACGGTATGAAGGTATGGATGACTTTCCGAGGCCTGCCTGGGTTTGACCTTGTGTCCTTGAGTATAACTTTTTTGCTGCCAGCATCTTGGTGTTTGGAGGCGGCAGTGGCACTGCATAGCTGTATCTTTGGTAGTGGTTCACGTACAATTTCTGAAGTGGTTTAGGATGATTAAAGGTATTACTAGGAAAACACAATTTCAGTGTTACTGTTCCCTAGGTGAGGAAATGAAAAGTTGTTGGAGGTACACTGCCAAACAAATTTGAGGAAGATGGAGAATACATTTTTGTAGCTTATATCAAACAACTTGCCCCTTAAATGTATTGAGTTCCTTTAAATATATTTGGATCTTTGATTACAAATCAGTTGACAGGGTGTTTTGATGCCTCCAGTCTAAGTAAATGCTCTGCAAGTGGAGCTAGTGTGTCTGTTCTTTCTGAGCTAAGGCTAATTATTTAATCTAATTGGTTTCTAGGGGGAGAGATTGTTGATAGTGTAGGACATACTGAAGGAAATTGATAACTACACAGCCATCAGTGTTTTGATTGAAGCTGCTCATAATGATGAGTTGAAGCTGCTTCATATTTATTTATTTACGTATTGGCTGTGAACACAAAAGCTGTTATTTATCTTATGCATCCTACATGAGAGTGTTACTTGCTAGACCTTGTGGCATACCTGAGAAAGAATACCTTGGCTTGTGAATTCAAGATAAGCTTACTGAATTCATACTGTGCCTTGATGTGCTAAATCTGGTTTGAAATGTCTTTTTCCAGGTACTGCTGAGGTATCCTCTATTCTTGAGGAACGTATTTTGGGAGCTGACACCTCTGCTGAACTTGAGGAGACTGGCCGTGTGCTCTCGATTGGTGATGGTATTGCCCGTGTGTATGGCCTAAGAAATGTCCAAGCAGAAGAAATGGTTGAATTCTCCTCTGGACTGAAGGTAAGCTTTCACTAAAGCAGTTTGTTTAGCCTAGAAATATAAAGAAGACTCTTTTTTTAAGGAGAACATAAGGCTATGCTTGGAGGTACCTGTATGGACCTTTTACAGACTTCATTGAAACTTTAATACGTAGTAACTAGTAGAAATGATACTACAAAAGCAAATATTCTTTGAATTTGTAACACTTTGCTTTCAGTATCAGTATCTGGTTCTTGGCCAACATTTGAGCTTTATTTGTCTTCATCTGGGAAGTATAAGAACTAATCTGGCATTGGGTTTGTTTTCTTTGGTTTCATGCTGGTTTTTCTGTGTACTGTTGAATAATAGCCTCTCTGCTCCAATACAGTGTGCAGTTTGCTGACTTCTTAGAGTCCCAAGAGTAGACTAGAGTTAAAAAGCTGTCTGGCTGTTCCGAGCATACTGCAACAGCTCTTCCAGTGTTTTTAATGGCCTAACTCACCTTAGGCAGAGAAAAAGCCAGTGCTTTTCCCTTGTCCAATTCCTAGGCAAGAGAGAAATATTGTATTTGAACGCTGCTTATCCTTTCTGTTCTTTTTAGAGAGAGAAATGACTGAATGCTAGACTGCTGCAAGTATAGTTATGTAGTAAGCTGAAGACTTAGGCAGGTTCTCTAACCAGTATGGAAGAACATACACGCATTGTACATAAAAGCAGAACATTGTTGTTACAAATAAGATTGAGGTAGATTATGTTGGATATTCTACACTGTTAGAGTTATCACATCGGTATTAAACTGTCAAAATTTTCGTAAAGGTTGGTGTGGGTTTTATCAGGATAATGTGATCTTTGTCGTAGGGTATGTCCTTGAATTTGGAGCCCGACAATGTTGGTGTTGTCGTGTTTGGTAATGACAGACTGATCAAGGAAGGGGATGTCGTGAAGAGGACTGGTGCCATTGTGGATGTTCCCGTTGGGGAAGAGCTGCTGGGCCGTGTTGTAGATGCCCTGGGCAATCCAATTGATGGGAAGGTAAGCGTAACTAGGTGTTTACTACTTCTGCTTGTATTTATGTGATACAGACTGCAACAGGTTTTTTCCTCTCTTCTAAGGGTCCTATTACATCTAAGACACGTAGAAGAGTTGGCTTAAAGGCCCCTGGGATCATTCCCAGAATCTCTGTGCGTGAACCTATGCAGACTGGTATTAAGGCTGTGGACAGCTTGGTGCCCATTGGTCGTGGCCAGCGTGAGCTGATCATTGGTGACAGGCAGACCGGGTAAGTTAAATGCCCAAGCTAAAAGTGTTTCCTTAAACAGAGACTCGAGTACACTGTGTGCTGATGTACAAAGCCGAACACGGAACTGTGTAGAGGTTGGGAGAACTGTAGGCAGCTTAACTTACCAACCTCTGTGTTACACAGGAAAACTTCAATTGCAATTGACACAATAATCAACCAGAAACGATTTAATGATGGAACAGATGAGAAAAAGAAGCTGTACTGTATCTATGTTGCAATTGGCCAGAAGAGATCTACTGTTGCTCAGCTGGTGAAGAGGCTCACTGATGCAGGTACAGATTTTTGAAGACGGTTGAGCCTGGCAACTAGTGACATCCTGTTCTCATTATAATGCTGACTACTACTATGACCTCTCCTAGCTGCAAGTATAGACAGAATTCTTTTCGTATTAAATGAGTGAACTACTTGCTTTTGTGGACAAGAAATCTTTCTAGGTATCTGGGGAAAAAAAGAACTCCTTTTTGCTACATCACATTAGAAGACTGGTATAAGGTCCCAAAACTGCTGAATTGCTTCTGGAAAAGTCAGCCTGTGGTGTTTTGTTTGTTGGTTTTTTTTTTTTCAGCAGAGTTGAGAGCTTCCTTTTGGC